CATGAGTGTCGCCGCTGGAACGACTTAGTACATTCGGTCTGTTTCGCAACGACACTAACCATGTTTACGAATGGTTGCATGATTCACCCAGCACTTACCTTTCGTATCAACCGCAATGGGACCCGTTAGACACGATATGAATTATTCCCCAGGAGCAGGCTCAGTTAAACAATGGCTTAATAGGCGAGTGCAACCTCGGGCGTCCCATCAAGCGCGTCAGCCAACCACGGTGAGGATGCCAAACTGCAGCACGCGCGCACTCAACATGATTCGAATCGCCACATGCGTCAAGCGCAGACCTTCCAACATGGCGCTCATTGAGCATGCTGCACCCCGAAACGCACCGTTGTGCACAAACTCTCACTGCCCGTCTGGCGCCAATAGGCCTGATTCCATGCCAACCGATCCTCGACAGCGGTATGTGTTAGCGTCATTTCATGTCATTACTCCCAACGACCAAACCATTCGGACTCAGGCATGTTGGTGCTTAGCAATATACGGGAATATCAGCGATGTGATGCGCGGACACATCGCGCAATCACATTTCACGTAGAACTGCAAATGGCTACATGTTTATGTGCCGCAGATTCAACTACCACCCACCATGATCACAGGTGAGCGTTAAGCCTAGGTGATGCGACGTGAGCATTACGAGTATGCCCTTAGCACGCGTGGAGGTTCAGTGTAACCAATCGTGCCTAAATACCAGTGTCGTGCGCCACTAGGCACCCACCAAATCGCAGGCGATCTGCGCCACATCCTATCATTCCGCAGGTGTGTCCAGGCGTCCTCTGGTACCACATGTCTGGAGACCCGAATTTTCCGCGACGGTGAATCACGTTTTCTTCGATTGAAATCCAAAATTCCTTGAACTATGTGCTGCGAACATTCTATTCCGTGATTTTCTCGAGAATACGAAAAAAGCATAAATCAAGACACCTTCATTCACCAAATACATTTCAGTCATGATTCAAAACAGAAGATTTAATATAAAGCCCAACAATATGTTTCGTGCTACTGACTGAAAGTTTGTGACGCTTGTCAGACACAACATTTGTGAAGACACTAATGTTCCATTTAGCGTCTACCGCATTCACGGGAATGCATAGATCACGGCCGACGATGTCTGCCAGTTGTGGAGTTCTTTCATACATACCGCACCAGAATGCCAGCGTTTCTTTACATTTTTTCCTTGAAGTACTTCCCTACTTTTCGATAGAGTAACTACTCGGTTGCCAGAGCTGGGGAGCTAACCACGCCTGGAACATCGGCATAGTTGCATGGATCAGTGGCCAAGTTGATGATCTGTTTGTGGCTGAGCACTCTAATGACTTCTAAAACGGCCAACTATCCTGTGATGTCATAAAATCCTGGGCTTCTACGACAGCTTGGCATAAGCATTTGCATGTCAGTTTGGATTTTGCTGGACGCGTCAAAGGTGTGTCCCTCTGACTGCAAATGTTGCAGCCAGTTTTCTTCAGCGGCAGTTTTCAGCGACATGGATATGTCGGAGAGGTCGAGTCAAGTGAAGTCAAATCAGTATAAGCTTTATGTACCCAAATAGGTGCATTTGCAGCATCTTACATTATCAACTGTAAATGTACCAAACGGGTACCGTTAAAAACGCTAAATCTACAAATGGGCAGAAAATGAGAAGGGCGCATTGCCATAACTTTATCATGGGATCCATAATGGTGAACTAAATCTTCCAGATTTACACCCATTTAAAACGGAAAAGCTTTCCTTACAACCGTTCTTGATAGCGCGTTTCATTTGACGTAAATCTAATGGGTTACTGGAGACAGTGATTCGGCAGTTTTCAGGTGACGGCTGATGTTCTTCCCAACAGTCGTAATGCAACCCAGTTGCTATTTCAAAGCTTTCTGTGTTGTTTCCTTGGTTAGAACATTTAACCAATGCCCAAACACCAGCTGAGTCTCCAAACACTTGTTGTACAGCTTGTAGCCTGGCTGGGTAATGATGGAAATACGTGCTGTGATGTGCGACAGCTTCCAGACAGAACTTCCAGCGAGTGATGACCGGTGCAGGTGGGTCGGCTGGGTTATCCACGTCCTCCTGAGTTAGATACTCCATGTAGACAAGCCCCTTTCTTCCCGAAAGACGGAAAGCACTTCATTTTTGCAACGAATTCTTCGACTTTCGGAGAGAATTTGCGAATGGTCTCTCCAAGCAAGTTGATGTGATGGCAACACATCTGATGTGAACTGATTCCTCACAAACAGGCTTAATGACATCTCGGTAGCATGATGTCATATATCTAGCGCCATCGGACACAAAGGCCGTCACACGACTGAACTCGATACCCATCATTGTGGAGCTGCGCAGAATGGCCCCTCCAACTGTGGCAGACCTGGCTCTCACCTTATTGATCGTGTCGATTAGGTTTGCTCTGAGACTGTCTTTGTTGGACTTCAATGGTGCGCATAACAAGATGTATTGTTCCATTTTCACGCGATCATTAGTTTTTTCGTCTGTTATAACGCTGAGAAAGATATCACGGAACATCTCTTTCAATATCTGATTATGTTTCCCGTAGAGTTGGGGAATTTACAGACGTAGCGCGTCAGATCCGTCAATGCTTCCACCATTTCTTACGTGTCTATGAAGCAATTTCCTCATCTGGGGGTTGTCGGACCTCTCTAAAGGAATATTCGCAGACACCATAGCAACTAGAAACTCAGGTACCACTGTGTCGTGGGCTACTTAGACAGCGTTTACAACGGCGATGGAACCAGCGATACTTGCTTGTCAAACTTTCTTCGGAGCTGGTTCCCCTTGAAAACAAGTTTGGCTGCTTGTTCCTCCTTGTAAGCTTTCTTCTGAAAATGCTTCTGGCTGCGAATGTGGTCAAGCACGGTTGTTTCTCGAGATGGATCCACAGTCAATTTGCATGATGAACAAAACAGTAGTTTTTTGTCCGCGTTACCAACGTAGTATTCTCCATTCATTCTGTCCAGGGCAGTTTTTCCTCCTACATGCTGTTTGCTTTTCTGAAATGACACCTGTGAAAGATAAAACCTCTTGACTATTGTAAGCAATAGATTCCCTTGGTTCTCGAGTAACGGGTCAAACAAACACGAAGCCGTGACTGAATTACGGTACTATTCAAAGGAAGATGGAAGTTCAGTATTGGCAAACCTCAACAGTAACTGCTAAGTACTGAAACAACAGTATCTTCATGAAGTACTCAAACAGAGTACAAATCACTGTTCTCGCCACTATACTGCCGACGACTTCAGCCTGTCATCAAATTTACATGGTCGCTTAGGTTGCGCCGCCAGGTCCTATGAGACGACCTCGCGGCTGTTCTACGCCTAAGAGGCGACAGTGTATCAAGTTCGCGGGTGACCGTAATGGGGGCGGTGTGTGCCGGCCAGGCACGCGCAAAAGATGTGAACGAACAGCTGTCAAACAGATTTAATCTACATATGGGCAAAAGGTTCTGTATGATGGACAAGAGCATGAGTGCACAGCGTGGGCAGACAGATGGGACATGGTTGCTGAATGGATAGTTGCATAGGTGACACTCTGGTCTGGAGACAAGCGGACTTGGATAGCAGAAGGTGGACTGATGGCGATGATGGTACTTTAGAGGAAGGTTCCGATAACCAGTTGGCTGCTTTGGCATTTCTTCCGAATACAAGTATGTTGATTACAATGAAAATGAATTCAAAGTAGCTTACTTTGTGAATTTCTCATAGTTTCCGCGATTCCGCGAAATTTTTCATTTTCCGCGACAGAAAATTCGCAATTTTTCTGCGTTTCGCGGAATCGCGGAAAATCCGGGTCTTTACCCATGTCGTAAACTCGTCTGATATGCCATGGGTTGAGTTGGGATTGGTCAACAAAGAGCGGCGCGCCTTTGTGACGTTTGCGCCTGTAGTGTGCTACTTGGTTGCGTTGAGAACTATCCTGACATATGTATGCATGAGCCCGATTTCCGTAAAGAGGAAAGCGTTATGGACGGAGGCGAGCGTTTGAAAAAAAACCAGATGAAATATTTACAGATTTATGGTTTCCGGCCAATGAAAGAGAGAACGATGCGCGATACCGCAATGCTGGTAAAAAAAGCATACGTACTTGCATGCTGTCAAAAGTAAAATTTACTCAGTTGGTGACACGCGAAAAGTACAATCTTACTAAGCATCTCAACTGAAAATGTTGGACCCAATGGTGACGGAAATAAGGTGTCGCAGTTTATGACTTCATAAACATCGCGAAGTACCGCTTCTCTGTGGTCATCCAATTCCTGCGATATGCAATAACTTTCATGGTAGACACTGCGTTAAGGACTATCCTGAAATATGTATGGATGAGCACGATTTCCATAAGGGGGAATTTAAAAGCGTTATTGACGCAATTAACCGAGGAGAATTATAGTCGATGTGGAGAGGGGCCGACCTCATTGACGTTTGTATTTTGAACTAGTTTGTCCTCCCCTATATAGCTTACCTTACCCATCCAACCGCGATCCCATACCCAAAGGGCAATGTGATAGTAAAGACTATATTGCTTATGCTTTGATTTTTATATTGTATTTGTGTATCCCGCGTTTCCATATATCTTATCTCTTAATATGGAGTCACAATAAGTGAAGTGTGTTTATTATCTGCTAATGTGTATTTGTGATGGTGATAATGATAATGCCTGCCGTAACCTTCGTTACCGTGTAAATAGATGCGATATAGCGCCGCTCATTCTGCACCGCCGTGCTCGGAGGCAATCGCGAGTGCCAGATCTTTAGAAAGTCGCATGGATACAGCTATGGAATGTTTCCGACACCCAATGCTGTTGCCAATGTAGTGATAGTGAATGCAGTTCTTGTACATTTAACGAGCTTCTCTATTATTCCGCTTTATTGTCTGCTGGTTATAGTATCATCAAAGAACTTTAAATGACCTAGGTAGACGCCCTGGTTGTTACCAACATCTTCACATTAATCGACATCAATCTGTCTCCCTTTTTCCTCTTTTGTTCAGCCGTCCACGATTGGTGTCCTATCAATGAAGAAGCGCCCAATTCGAAAACTCCAAACATTGAGATTTTCGTTTGTGTTCCCTAGTACCTGTAAAACATATTTTCGACAATTCATCTCTTCGTTCGTAAAATGTTTGCATATGAATTCTTCAACATATCAAAGACGAATTCACTTTATTTTAGCCTACTTTGGGTAGCTTCTAGTTGTTATTTAGCATTATCCTATGTTTTGCTGATGGATTAATACTGCATACTTATCACAACTGTCGCAGGGTCTTAATGGACCAATAATGTTTTTTAGCTTCTTCAAATTTACTGTTGTGTCGATACTCCGCGACTGCTTTCACCCACTATCGGTAGTGCGAACACCAACAACCAGAGACTAGGATTTAAGGGTTCTTCTACATAGAGAGATCACTTCGTTATATATCATAACGCACAACCGTGAAAGCCAACCACAGTACGGAATGCGTGCGGACAAGTAAAAAGTGGACAACTAAGGAACCAATCAGGTGCACGCAAAGAACGGAACGTGAATGTTAGCGTCAGAGTAGGGCTGTGATCTGAAGGCAAAAATAACGACTCCGAATAGCCAATAGAGCTAACGAAATGTGGCGTTAAAACAAATCTCAGTGAACCAGTAGAGCAAAACGAAAGTCTGCAGTCATGAACGGTTACACAGACATACCTGTATTTTTACTGCTACTCTAACAGTTACAAACCTACCCTTAGTGCCACTGTCTGAAACATGTCACAACAAAGGTCTCCTCTATCAAATTAGAATGATCGGTATGTGCTCAATTTGTGCTGGTAGCGGAACACCCATTTGCGCTTAGAGGATATTACTTGCCTGATATTATTTCCGATACTATCACTACCGAATAAAGGCGTGAGTTAGTAACCGAAAGATAAATAGTCGGAGCTGAGCGTTTGAATCCAAACAGATGAAATATTTGCAGATTTATGGTTTCCGGCCAATGAAGGAGAGAATGATGCGCGATACCGCAATGGTGGTAAAAAAGCATACGTACTTGCATGCTGAAAATGTTGGATCCAATGGTGATGGAAATAAGGTGTCGCGGTTTATGACTTCACAAACATCGAGAAGTACCGCTTCTCTGTGGTCATCCAATTCCTGCGATATGCAATAATTTTCATGGTAGATACTGCATGCCTGTCCTCATTGTGTGGTTACAACTGATAAGAAATAATGTTTGTCCCGTTGTACAGCTTCACCTCTGAATTATCATCTGGACTAGGTGGAAACGTATTTATTTTAATACATTCAAACGATTAGGCAAGATGCCGTCGAATATCTTCCAAACTTCGCGTTGGCGCAACATGGACGTCATGAAACAACCTGATTTAGTTCCTGGGCGAATTTCCATTGCAGTATCTGGATTCCGATCGATGCAATGAAACCAATCAGTTATCGTAGCCACAAATCGACAATTTCAAAGGCATTGCGATTAATAGATTAATCAACGGAACTCATTTTTATTGGCTTTGTTACAGCTTCGCAGTGGTGGCGTAACTGGAACACTACATTTAATGTATATAAACGGGTAACTACAGCAAGCCTACCATCATGACTTGGGGTTTCAAAGAATGGACTAAATCAATTGTATCTGCCGCTGGACGGATAATAAACTCTACGCTTTTCATGTGCTCCGTTAGCGTCAGTGATAAGCCTACGAGACGGGGTCATAACAACTGCCTAACTGTAATGGATTCGGTCCATCTTCCGCATAAAACTAGCCCAGTTTCATATTTGCACACGTCAAAATGCATATTAAGCGATAGCATATTAAAAATTTATCAACGACCGTACACTAATAGCTTGAAAGTCTTCCAATTTCCTAGGCTTTTATAGTTTGTAGTTCTTGTGTGGAATGTCCAGATGGGTGAAGACGATCTGGAGCATATAAATTAGCCTTCAGATACACGGCGGCCCCAAACAGCCAGTCTTAGCTTTGAAAGCAAATAGAGAAGTGAGAGGAGATCTCGCGCCTTCTGCCGCTCCGCATCATAATCATACCTATCAAACACACAGTATCCACTTGCATAATTTAACAATATACTCCAGTTAAGACGCTAAGGAATGAATACTAACAATGCCAGTTCTCAGGTACCTTCCATAATCTCGTGTGATGCACAGAGTGGGTTGACCAAAAGGTTATCTATAAAACAAGGTCAGCTACTTTTCTTCCAGCTACTCGGTCTATTTAACCAACTAAAATGCTCCTATCTGCCGAGTGTTCCCTTGCACTATTCAGTATTGCTGATATAATAGTTCCGCTCGACCCGACTAATACTTCATGGAAAACCCTGGTAGGTGATCACGGGATACTTAACAACAATCTTATACTGGTTAAAAAGCATTGCTTAATGTTCCATGTTGGGTGTTCTGCTGGTTTTAACGGGAAATCTTCGTAATACAGTTGTCTTACCCTCCGCGTAAGTTCACAGCTCCAGTAGGTAACAACTAATACATTTAAGGTAATTCCCGCCAGTAGGATTGGGAGATAGTAAGCGAGTGAGCGCGTCATCTACCCGACTTTTAAATATGGCTACCGATCGATTCAGAGAGAGCATTCCACCAGTGACATGCGAATAGAAAAGATTGCTATAGCACTCCAGGCGGCTGTACTGTTCTTTTAGTTTCAAGATGTGACCTCCCAACTTTGTGTTACTGCTGAGTTGCAGTAAACAACGCTACACATGGATGGATTGTGTAACCTCTAGTGTGCATTTGTCAGGTCGCGTCGTAATCAGCGATGCATTCCGCTGAATAATACCAAACTTTCCAGCCTCTAGTTGCATAGGAGATTTCAAATTTCACTGACCTATTTGGAAGCTCGACGTTGAGGTTGGTCCAGTGCACTGACATCGTGTTTCAGGTGTGGTTGCCATGCCTGAATTGCACATTAGACATAGGAGTGAACATGAGCATTGAGAACCTGTCGACAAATAGAGATGTCTATATGTCCGAAAGCCCGTCGCAACAGCCGGACTGCGTACGGGAAGTAACGGCTAAGACTTCCGAAGGAATTCTGCGCAGGAATGTTAGACAATTGTGTTTTCTAGAAAAGACGCTGGAGGAGAGACGCGTACCAGCGGAAAGCGTCGGAAGAATTTAATTACATATTCGCAAATTGCAACTTTGCAGTTTTATCCTTCTTTCTCTAGTCGTCAGCCTATGTAGCTAGTTTATTTTACCTTCGTTACGCCTTTGTTGCATGACTAGGAGGATTATAAAGCACGACTTTGACATTTGTCTATTTGCATTACCATGGTTAACCAAAACACCGTCCTAGTGGCACCTAATCACACACTTTACCGTTGACGTGCTGGCCGGTGCTGTCTGTCTCACCGCTGCCCCCCGTTTACCGCTGATCGGGGATATCGACTTGATGAAGGCGCCTGCGATATTAGTCGGCAATCAATAACACGCAAGAGACATGTCAAATACGGGAGAGTATAGAAGTTAGACGCGACTGAAACCAAAGTGTATTATGCAGGCTACAAAAATAGAAAGCGAATCAACCAGTGCGAGAAACGGTGCAGCAAAATACTCAACGAAACAATTTGTGTCAGTAAAAGAAGTTGATGTTTTGAAGGTTAAAAGAAAGGTAATATCCAGTGTTGCAAAATAATGGAAGAGCGTATTTTCCGGTGCACTGCAAGGACCTCCCCATAGAAGACTGAAGGTTGAAAGTTTTCGACAAAAATGTTAGTCAGGGAAACAGGACGTGAGGTTGTTTGCGAATAGCTGATCATAAGTTCAAAGGTGTGCTTGGCCGCGTCGGGAATAAAGCATCTATATATTATTCAGTTATTTACTAGCTGCATGAATTTGAACGCGGACTTCCAACATGGGGTGTGTAGCAGAGTTCACTGGCTTTTGTTATTAATTGTTCATGATAATCTTGTGGACCAGAGTGCAGCATTGGTGGGCGGTCGGGGTGGGCACGCCCGACTGCAAAATAACTGACTAGTCCAGCAAATTGGCTGACAGGACATTTCCTCCGCTGCAGACCCGACGGAGCGCTCGGGAGGTGGCATACCCCCATCGCACTCAAGTCCACGGTCCTCGTCCCATGAAGAAAGCTGGGCATCCACGTCATACGAAAAATATCCGGCGCCCCAGTCGGCAACGCACAGCCAGGCGATTAGGGACCAATCCGGTCGTGTCCGTCCGCCGTCGTGGGCGACTGACTGGTCCTTGGGTTACGAAAAGGTCTTAGGTCGGCTAGGGAGTTACTCAGGGGTTATGTTGAACCGGTTGGCGAGTCACTCGGGGGTTGGCTTGGTAGTTCCGGTGCTCGAGTTTCTGGCAGGTAGAACTCAGTGGGGGTGGACAAGCGTCAAGGATGTGGCCTGAAGCTGGAGAGGGAACACAGCATGCATGAAAAGCAAATCCGCTTTTTAAATATTCAAACTGTTTTGGGTATTTTGTCGATATGCGAAACGTTTGCAGATGAGACGCACAATTACAATCTATGGACGAAAAGGCCGCGTTAATGGAAATAGAAAAGGTTTACAAAATCTATGAAACGGACTGGACGTTTAACCTGTCTACCGCGTCGATCGGTTGCCGGAGGTTGAGGCAGGGAAGGTTGATGGTCAAGGGGAACGGATGGTTTCAGAGTATCCAGTGCTCAAGAACTCACCGCAGGCTTGGGCGCTTGTGTGATAACATCAGTATGGTTGGCAAGTGCTTCGTCTAAGAAAGCCATTTTGAAGTGGTCAATGGACACAGTTGTTCCATGCCCATTCCTGTCTAAAATGAAATGTTTCGGAGTCCGTTGCAGGACTCTGCAACGGCCAGTGTAGGGAGGCTGGAGAGGGCGCCGCGCTGCGTCAGTGCGGTGGAAGAGGTGGGTGCGGGTAGAGAGTCCGATGTGCACTTGCACATCTATTGTCTGCTCACGAGGCGGAGTCGGGCGAAGTGAACACATGCGTTCAGTTAGGGAGGACTCAAACGTAGGCATGCCTGGCGATGCGGGAGACGAAACAAATTCTGCTGGCGTCTTTAGCGTTGGACCGTAAGCCAGCTCTGCTGGTGCACATTACAAGTCAGATAAGATGTTGCTGCGAATGCCTAAGAGTACGGGCAATACGCTTTCGCTCCAGCTAGGGTAGGAGGAGGCGCAGAGCGAGGTTTTAGCTGTCTGTCGAAGTGTTCAAATAAACCGTTGGCTTCATGCAGCCATTTCCCTTCAGAAATTTCAAAAGATATATTGACGACACTTTTGTTGTAGTTCACACTGTCCAACAAGCGAAAGTCCTTTTGGAAACGTTAAACAAATGTCATCCTAACATCAAG